TTAGTCGACTCGATTTTTTCCGGTTCATTATTTTTATTTTATTAGTTTTAGTGATACTTTTTTTTTATTGCAGTATTATTGCTTAAGAAAAGACATTGAACGCTAAGAAAGACTTCTTTTACCTCTTTCGGATCGTACAAAAAGGTACTAGAAAGCGCTACACGTGGACCACCGCCTATGCCCGTGTGTTTGATAGTGTCATCAATATCCTTTGGAATGTAAAGGATTTGTTATAAAAAAATAGAGTAGAATGAGACATGCATAGTAAAAAAGAAAAAAGTTTATTTACGGATATTATAGATATGCCGTAAGCATCAATCAAATTGGCGAAACCATAAGTTTTTTCCGCTTTGTCTGCTACGAAATCGACAATGGACTTCAATAAAAGTCTTTTGGATTATACATTCAAATTATCATAGGTTGAGTTACTGTACCTTGCATTCCCCCTTCAGGCATTGCAGATAATTTTAGCCATCTTACGGGCTTATCACTTTTGTTTATGCTAGCAATCCACTTATCGATAATTTCGGCACGAATCCTAATTATGCCCGAAAAATGACCGGTGTCACTGGTAATGTGAGTGGATGAGGTGTGAGAGTCATAGCACTGTGACTTATCATCACAGTCTTGAGAAAAATCATCATCACCTAGAGCAAGGCCATCTATTTGAACATTATATTCTTGATTTCGAAGATTTTTTGCTAAAAACATGCTAAATCTATCTTCAAGTGTTTTGCTTTTTTGCTCATCATTGTTCACACCAGCTACCCGACGTGCAACACCTTATTGATTTTGATGAAGTTAAAGTGAAATAATTGTTACGATAATCATTCTACCTTTTGCATTTAAACACCTACCGATCATCCATTTTTGCTTCCGGCTTTGAGTTTTGGAGCTAAAAGCCCAGCCTCGTACATAAACTTTCCATTCTTCTCCTCCTATCAAATGAGAGTAAACATATAAATGTCATAGCATTTATACACATATAATTACTTCATAATTGTACAGCTGAGTTAACTCAATCGGTCCTTAAATTCATTTCCGGATATATCATTGGAAAATTGATTCAAAAATCATTTTCATGATACATTAATGAAAAATAATTGACATGTCTAGAATTTTATACCTTTATCACGACAAGCATATGAAGGAATTAATATACAGTTTTGTTCAGAATTAGTTGATTCTTCAGTGACCTCGCTGCTTATTTGTGTTTCCTCTGTAGACCGTACATCT